TATTTTTTAGTTTTTCATTTTATGTAAATTTGTGATAAAATTATTCTCAAATATGTTCTATTTTTCTTAAATCTTTTGAATAAGTAATACTAATTTATATTAAGTTATGATATTTTCCTAATTTTGTGTACACCGAAAATCACTCTAAATGTGTAAGACAATAAAATACAGTTTTCAGTTAATCAGGAATTTCAAATATTTTAAATTTTGTAACGTCAATTACATAATCATTGTCCTGTAAGATAGTATATCACTAGGAGGCATCACATCATGATTGGTTTTTTGACTAAAGCAATGATAACATACTAAAAATAAGAGATCATCTTAGAGTTATGAACTGTTTAACATTTTTGGGACAAGAAACTGGTTATCTGCGCGGAATTGTTCTAACAGTGTTATTATTTACGTAATAATAATAATCAGAATGCTTATTGTATATGATTATTAAAATAAACTGTGTGAATTAGAATATAAGGTGTTTTGTACGAGCTCAGTGCAATTCGTAAGTAATTTTCATAATGAAGTGATATCATCTGGAAAAGCATTGAAAACCAAGGAGCATTGAGTTATTTCATTATAGTTTGAGTATCCTTTATAATTACCAACTTCATGACTTTCAGATCTAGCATCAAGCAACATAACCTTTAAGCCAATAAGCTGGTATTTAGTGGCTCACATTTCAGAATTCAATCAATTTATGATATTTTATGATTCTTATTCATTACTAGTGATGAGTTACTGTCTTATTCTTAACTTGATTAACTCTTCAGGTTTAAATTTTTTATTTAAGGAAATCCATGTTAATTCTAGTTGATAAGAGGCATATAATGATTAAAATTTGGCTAGGTAAATGTCAGTAAAATAACTACTGAAAAAAGTGGACCAAACAAATGATACTTTTTTTTTCTTGTTTGGATTATATTTAATTTTAATAAATTGTTAGATATTCGTCCAACTAATTTGTTTGTTTATGTCTAGAACAAACTACTTATTTATTCAGTTAGTTTTATTTTTCGTTCTATTTTCTTTTATTGAAGAAAGATATCAATAATACACATGTGTACAATAAAAGAAACTGGAAAATAAAACATGTTCTTACTTGTCTATCATTTGAATAAAATGATACACCTAGAATTTATTAGTAAGAAAGTCTTACTGTCAAATAAGTCAAGTCAGTCAATTTAGCATTAATTAAACATTAAAAATAATGTACATAGAAGCATTTAATATTAAAAGCTTTTATAATTTAGTCTACCATGTAAAGTGAAACAAGTTAGATTTTAAAATAATATATGAAATTCTAAACTATAATTTACCATTGTCATAGAAATTAAAATTAAGTACGTTTATTGTTTTATTTAAGTAGTCTGATTCAAGTTATCATAGGTAAACGTTGGAACTAACTGAATTCAATTGCTGAGATTTTTTCAAGCATACTTTCATGATTAATATATTTCCTAGATACTTGATACCCAAACTTTTTAAAAATTCTGGTATTCAAAGTTCAACCAATGTTTATATAATCTACTGGTATCATTCAGTAATAGACAATTACAAAAATCAAATTCATTGATAATGAAAATTAAGGCGATTAGACTGTAGATTAGTAGTTAAGATTTTGGTTGTTCATTATTACTTCAATATTACTCAAAAGAAAAGATTCATTATGAATACATTCAAAGAAATTAATATTACTAACTATAAATCAGTTAAAAATGTTCGATTTTGTCTATAGATGTTTGGTAAACAATAGAACATTTTGAAAATAAAAGATTCTCTTAACTAAATAATAAAATCATATTTGTACCATCATTAAATTTGATATGATCAGACTTTCAAATATCTTTCGTTGATTGTTTTAATTTATATTTCATTCTTTTCTTCTTTATGAATTATTAGTGAACTTGTTTGAATTCATTTACTTTCTACTTTATTTGGATGTAAATATGCTGTAGATTTATTTGTGATTGAGTACATTTTCGTATATTTTATATACAACATTTTACCTTTGTACATTTTAGCAAGTGTCATTTACTTAGAAAAAATCTTATTACTTTTCCAGTTGATATATATTAATTGTTAAGTTTTGTTTTTTGACAAACAGTTTCTCTTCTGTTTATTATTTATTATGGTCTGTATTTTCTCATTGTTGGAATTAATGAAATCAGTTGATCAGTTTATATGTACATATGGGCATTCTGAGCAGATAGTATCGGTAATCGTATTTAATAACAAGTTGTTATTAAAGTTTAGTACTAGCAAGCAGTGGGCTTCAGAACAAATGTTTTGTTCCATATGGGTTTTATCAATTGAATGTGTTTGGATCCAAGTGTTATTGTCTTTATTGAGACTCCAATCCAATACCTTTTTATTCAAACGTCAATCATTATCAACTGATCTACCCGGTACACAAGCTAGGAACTATTTGGACTCAGTTTATATATAATCTTTTATGATCGTTTTCAAAAATAAAATTACACAATCTTGATATTAGGATACACGTTCGTGGATTGTTAGTGCATTCGTTCTTCAGTAGTCAATATATGTGCAGTATCTAGAATTTTTCCACTTTTTAGTGAGTAATTGTTACATATAAGAGAATAATTTTTACTAAAGATTTCATTTCAAGCTCTAACTTACACATTATTTTGGGTTTTTTCACCCGACAAGTTAGGCTGTACTATAGCATTGTGTTCATAGAATATATATCTAGATAGTTGTAGATGATTGAAATGAAATCCCTAATGAAGATTACTGTTTTATATGAAGTTTTGATCAACTAAATGAATAGAAAAATGTTCGAAACTGTCAGATGCTATACATTTATTGACATTGAAAATGGTGGTTTTCCTTACACATAACCTTTTAGTTATTATTATTTACAAATCGTTTTTTCGGCTAATTCCAGCTTTTGGTTTTTCACTTGAAAAGATGTTTATTTTTCAGTTTTTATTTTCTTATATTTTATTTTAATACTTCACATCACAACCTACTGAATTAATGTCATTTAAGTTGTTTTCTTTTATCTCTCAATACCCTTTCATACATATGTCACTTATTCTCTATCCTATAAGCTGTTTGGAGTTGATACTGTGTAAGTTCGCTAACTTTTTCAAAACTCTTATTGATCTTACTTTATTTAAGACTATTTAAAACTTAACGACAGATTTCAATATTGGCTTATATTAATTGGTAAAACTGATTTTGATTTAAATGATATGATGTTAGCGTGCATAAACTTGTATTGAATGTCTGATCCAATTTATTCCTTTAACTATTTCAACTTGTGTTAACTCGTGAAAGCTATTCATCTAACACAAAGTCAAATGACGTTGAAATATAGTGATTTTATTCAGTAGTTTATGATAAGTGTACCATTTTTATTACAAATCAACAAATCAAATAGTTGTTTTGTCTTATTCCACTTATATTTAGCAGTGCACACACTGATCATTTTATACAATTAAATACAAGAATTTCATTGCTTTCACTGAGCATGATATCATTCTCATTGTTTCAATGGTCGAATTGAAAAGTAAGGAAAATAAATTCAGTGGAGTTAATGATGACAAGTTCTGCCGATTCCAACTATATATATATATATATATATATATATATATATATATATATATATATATATATATATATATATAGTGAACTTTTCCACTGTTCGCGATATGTACCTAAATCTAATCCAAAATATCAATACTTGTATGTAGTGTGACGGAACAATTTTTATATACATAGAAACTATGACCTAACTGTTCGAAACTGATCTTTCCGGAAAAAAAACGTCAAAATTACTCTTGCCAAATCTAGTGCTAAATTTCTTAGAAATTTATTTCACATAAAGATAAGAAATAAGTTTAGAAAAAATAGTCCAATACAAAGCCAAGTTGGCAGTAAAATCAAAAAACCGCAATAACATTTACATAAAATGAAATCATTCTATTTAAATTCATCTGATCACTTGTAACAAAAAAAGAAATTTGGAACAATCAATAAAATTAAAAATCACATTTGAACGTTTTTCAGTTGGTTTAGTTGAGAGTAAATTTTGGACCAGGATATAAAATCAGAAAAATAAGCTAAGGGAACTGCAAGTGGAAACAGACAATCATTGATTAAACAAATTCAACAATCAGAGAAAGGCCTGAGCATAAACTTCTTTCTGGTTATTACTGGTTACTTAGTTGTCGTTCTCATCTTTAGCAAACTAATTCTCTAGGTGTTTTCCTGACTTTTTTACTTAAAAATGTCACAATGTGTATCTAGACTAGTGACAGTGTTCCTGACTATAACACTGGTTTAAATCTCAGTGGTAAAATCAATTCCTTCAACTTTTTGAATGCTCCTTGCTAACGAGTACCAGGTGACAAAAAACCTATATTCATGACTTTCGCTTAATTAACTTCAGTCACATACTACATCGCCATACGGTATGTGGTTAGCTATGTTACAACTTTATTGATAAAACTCATTTAGACATTACGTAATTGGGTAGTGAATAGTTTCCAATGTTGATCTAACATGGGTTGGTTCATGATTTCAAAGAGAAATGGAAGTTGTCAGGGTAGTAAGAGATTAACAAATGTATTCTTCCAATGCACAGTCTTGATTTTCAATAGCGATGGTTTCTGCATAATGTAGTAAATCTGAGGCTGTTTGTGCATTGAATATTATGAATGATTTTACAATTCTAGTATGATGTCCACCATCGAACAGATGACAAACAATAGCATTGTTTACAATACGTTGACGTTTCAATCTGAATTTTTGTGGAGTGTGCTACGAGATGTGAACAGGAACACTCCTTCAGTTCATTCAATGTATGGAGTTTGGCATGAACGTGTAAAACAGTTCACACAATTGGAAGTGAGATGGGATGAGAGTTAGTTCACTTTTATTTGTCTGAATTATCCATTTGTTTGATCAAGCGAAACTAGTATGTGGCGGCTGAATTCGTCGTGTTCAGTGCCTCATCCAGTCTAGAATCAATCATGTTAGCTATTTCATCATCATCATCATCATCATCATCATCATCATCATCATCATCATCATCATCATCATCATCATCATCATCATCATCATCATCATCATCATCATCATCATCATCATCATCATCATCATCATCATCATCATCATCATCATCATCATCATCATCATCATCATCATCATCATCATCATCATCATCATCATCATCATCATCATCATCATCATCATCATCATCATCATCATCATCATCATCATCATCATCATCATCATCATCATCATCATCATCATCATCATCATCATCATCATCATCATCATCATCATCATCATCATCATCATCATCATCATCATCATCATCATCATCATCATCATCATCATCATCATCATCATCATCATCATCATCATCATCATCATCATCATCATCATCATCATCATCATCATCATCATCATCATCGATCTGAGTCGCAGAACTACAGGCTTTTTCTCGACTGTAGCGAATTTCATTCTCTCCATTCTCATTTTCCTATACATACTGATAAACGTTTGTGGACAAACATTATTTTACATGCTTTTCTTCAGATATCTTCATTTTCTAAAAACGTATGTTTTAGTATTTTCCTTCTACAATTTTCTTTAATTCTCAGATTATTTCTGAGCTTTACTCAACTCACTCTGTTAATCTATTCAATTTCATAGTTGTTATGACGTAACTGTGATATCAATGTTCAGTCACTAGGATCGTGTGCTCTAGTGATTTCCTTCTAGAATTTTCACACTCGATAATATGAAAATACTCATCCATTTTACCATTTTATCACTCTTTCATGTTTGTTGTTGTTATTGTTCTCCTAATTTTCGTCAACAAACTATGAAGTATGTCAATTGGTAATGAATAATTATTACTATTTTATGTAAGTTGTGAGTAACCGATGAGAATCCATTAAATAAATGAATTCACCTTATTCTACTACTTTTGTTGTTATTGCTTCATTCAGATTTATCAATAGGAAAATATTATATGAAATTTAATTTCAACTTTAAAATTATTCTGTGGAACCATTAAAATGTCATTGGTGTTATTCAATCTATACAATTTATTTATATTAATCCACTGTCTATAGTGAATAATTTTAGATAAACTATGAACAATAGCCTACACCTTTTTTCTCTCACTCATTCATTCATTCATTCATTCATATGAAATAGAATTAAGAAAACATTTAATTCAAATTAATTACATTATCTGAATTTAAAAGCATGTGATTAAACTTGTTTAATATTGGAAATAAAAACAAAGAAAGGTGCTATTTATAAAAACCAACTTATTATTAGGTTGTACATAAATTGTCTACATGAATAAATGTAACGTAAATTAAAACTCGTATAGTACGAATAAAATCTTTTTTTTTCTTATTATTTTATACTGTTAAATGTAATGAATTATAGCATGTGTTACTAACCTAACAATATTGAATATTATCAAATGGGGATTTTTTTGTGGAGATTGTAGTAAATTAATAGTTCATTTCATGAGTCAATTAAAGTTAGATCATCATGGAAAGCGTGGAAGCACAGTGAACGGCTGTTTCATACTAATATGGGATCATAGATCACACTGTTGAGGAGACTGATACTAGGACAATTTGTTCGCTCAGTGTTTCTAGGTTTAGCTTTAATTGACTCAAATATTTAATATTGAATATGTTAATGATATTGCCGAAAAACTAATTAGTTAACTACTACTATTAACAAAAAGTATTCCATTTTTAAGTTCAAGATAATTATGGATTGAAAAACCATGCACACCCACGCACACACACATAAATACGCTTCTAAACATTAAAGTTGAACAAGTTTAAAAAGATTGGTTTAATTATGATTAAAAAGGAAATAGTAATGTTAGTTGTTGTAATACGTGTAAGATTTATTATTTTCATTCCAATCACTTTGATCATAATTATTTAAGTAATCGATTGAATATGATAACAAAAAGAAAAAGAAACTAATCAATAATGATAAACTGATCGTGATTAGTTTTTAAAGTAGAATAATTTTATTCGACTAATAATAATAAGTTAATTCATGTAAATTATAAGTAACAAAAATAGGTCAATAATTGAATGACATTTATGAATTCAATAGTTGAATTCATGAATCAATTAAAGCTAGACCACCATGGAAAACCTGGAAGCACTGAACGGTCGTTTTGTCCTAGTGTGGGACTCCTCAGCAGTGCTCATCCACCTTTCAGTAGGCTATCTTACAGATTTTCTGATAACGGAACTCTTAATTATTGATTTCATACACATACATTAGGGCACAAATTAAGCTATAACATTACGAAGAAACAAAGAAGAGAAGAGAAGGATGATCAGAAAGAAGAAAAGCGGACAAGAATGGGATATATGAGGAAATACAGCCGAGAACTTTTTTTTCAATTGAAGGAGTTTCTCTCACTTTTGTGAATAGTGTAAAAGGAAAATATAACAGGGTTTTCTTTGACTTTTATTCTAAAAATATAAATTTTAAAAACGAGCTTCTGAGCGAGTTGCAAAACAAAGTAAATACAGACTGGAAGCAAAATAGAATACAAAGTTGAAGCTTTATTAAATAAATTCGTTTGAAACAAGTTAATTATGATTATTATGTGAGTGAAACAGGATACTGTTCGGTTATCTGGACTGGACCAATTCGTTTACATGTGGGGACACTCCTTGAGTGTTTGATTTGGAGATTCTAGTGGAGATGGAATATCTAACTTCAATTTGTTCATTTGATTACCGTTATCGATTTATACATGTGTCCAATCCTCGTGTTTAATTATCGACTTAATCCGCGTTGGTGAATAACGGAACTAAATAAGTCAAATACGGGAATGGATTTCTCATACGTGTATTTCATACAGTCACTGATCTGAACAGACAATCATGGAGACGGAGCGAAAGAAGTGAAGAGGAGAGAGAGAAGCGAAGCTAAATGATTCGCAGTGGATAAGGCGAGTGAGCCAACTCGATTTAACAAAGTGTGAATTGACATTTATAGTCCGACCAAAAATAAATTACAGACATGTGATGAATAAGATATGAAACGCACACATAAACGTTTGTATAAAAACAATCAGGGTTGATAAGAGTATAATCAACAAGATCAAAATGTGATTAATAAATTGGCCCGTCAGGATGCTAGAATAAACTATGTGGGCTTAACATAACAACCGACACTATAAGATCAAGGCCACAAAGCAGTGAAGAAACATCATAAGATGCAATCCCTTGGTAGTCAGTATCCTAAGTAGTTTTATACATCATTCTTGTTCTCAGGATCCTGGAGTCGCGTAAATCATTGGTTTTAAATCAGAATCCTCTAACTTTTCTAGGTGCAGTCTTAGTACTTACCAACTCGAGTTAAGCCAGAAACGTTCACTATGATGTAATACATCCTATCACGTAAAGGGAGTGATTATCAATTCATTAACAAAAGCTAAAGAAGCATGAGTATATGAGAGCTCTCCACGACGAAGAAAGAGGGGACACTCCCCACCCTGGAACGTATTAAAAGGTTTGGTGGCGATAAAGACTAAATCCAAACTAAGATTTCCAGAGACCAACTAATTAGCGATGACTTTATTACCGAGGATGATTTGTATTACTAATTTTATTCCCCAGTTACAACCTTAACTAAGATTGCTTTGAATACAAGTGATAAAAACGAATTTTTACCGAGAAGTTAGATGGTTTCGTGCTTGTTGGTTAATTTAAACATATTGAGATTGAAGCTAATTACCAATGATAAGTGATTTGAGGAGAGTCGAGCATTCAGTATTCCCATATTAAAGATATATAAATATATATATAACTACTAACTTGGGTAAAAAAAGGTGTGCAGAATATTACCATGAATTAATGGTAATGGAATAATTTTAGTTGTTTTACGGACTCGAATTGAATTTTGAAACAAGAAGTACTTCTGTGTTCGAGATATTATGATACCACCCTGGAACCAGCGAACGGAACGTAAACCAGCAACGTAATAATAGGACGAAGCTAAACCATTTCTCTACTCTCAAGTCCTGCTCATTAAAGAAAGAAGATCACATGAAGCTCAGAAGAATGAATAACAAGCACTCAACTCAAGCGCACTACATATAGTACAAAATTTCCTTGCAAAGCATCACAAAATAGTAAACCAAAAGAGAAAACGAATCAATGACGTTTAAGATCCTTCCGGTTAGGAAACACTAACTGAAGGTAATAACGGGCGCTTTTGGCCCGTAAGAAAAAAAAACAGTGTATTGACAATTTTTTCCTCACTGTGGATTCATGTTCGCTGAAAAACTAGTGAGAATGTACGACTCTAAGTAGTTATTTCCTCGGAAGTTTAATTACTTAACTTCAAACAGAATGAAACCCAGGAAATTCTCATTTTCAAACGAAAATGTTATCATTCAGAGATAGGGTTTCAATCTAGTGGTTATCACTTGAAATGTTCTAATATCAATCCGATGGTGAGTGAAAATGAGTAAAAACATTTTTTTTTTGAGTTTTGCACTTACGCTTGTTGTACATAACACTTTTTAGATAAACTGTCTTAACACTAATATATAAAATAGAAATCTTCTAAAATCTCATATAGTCCAATTATTTATTAACATAAATTAAGTGTCATCAGTTATCTTTCACGTATTTGCTAATACACCTACTGACATCTATGGTCACGTCTATAAATGAGCTTATTTCTACTTGAAAAGATATTACAATGGGTAGTTGAGGTCGTTTTTTTCGATTTTTGTGATAACACCATTTATAACAGTCTAATAAATGCATATATTGTAAACAAATATCGATGATAGTATGTACTCTAGTTTTTTATGCGATGTTGTCATTTTAACACTGTATAAACATGTTCTGCGTTTTTCTCTATTTTGATTTATCGGAAGTAATTTCTTGCCAAATAATTACTCTAAAATGGTAGTTTTAAGATTTACAATTTGATTATCGATTTATCATTAAAATCAAGAACATTTTATTGTTGTACCAATTGCCAAATATTCATCTGGTTATGTTTTAAGATAAGTTTAATGCTTGACAAAATCTACCCAAGAAATTTATCGAAACTGCAATGATCAATTAATAAGTTATATTACTTAAATAATCTTTTGTTCATTGACAGTATCCCTTTAACGTTTTTTTCAAGTCTAGTTATGAATATAAAGGAATATCACTTGTAAAAAGTATATTTATCATCTTTAATCATCATTTTTGGTAACGAAACCCGAAATCAAATATCAAAATTAAATTCACATCAGAAATACAAGCTGGTTTTTGTGAACAAATATTTCTGATTTCATTTTAATTAATTACCAATCACAAATGCTATTTTCATGTCATCTTAAAATAATCATCCTAAGAAACTATATACATTACTCTTAAGAACAGTGGTTCCCATGGTAACAGATATTTAT